GTCTCGTTCGTTCTTCTTATTGAGGTGCCCTGGCGGATAAGGCTATAACGTTCGTCTTCTCAGCTAAGTCACTGCTTAAGGAAGAAGACTTACTGCATGACTTCGTTGCTATTTCGCACCGTCACTTCACGTAGGCCGCCCCAGATTATGGACCCGTCTTTCCCTTCTCTAATCTGTACCTCGCGCCGCAACCCAGTTGCCTCGTCGGAGCTGAGGAGGTCGATCAAATCCTCGTTATACACTTCTATAAATGAGCCCTTAATGCTGTAACTCCAGGTCCCACCCCGTTGTTCTTTAAGTTTTCTCGCCTGCGAGAATATAGTAGAGACAGCTCTCGGTATGATGCCCATGCCATTATTAGGATCTGAGGGGTCCGCATCAAGGTCCATACCAGTCATGGTAAATGTCTTTCCGCTGCTTGTTTGTCCATAGGCGAGAATTGTACAATTAAAACCTTCCATGAAACGGGATATGAGGGGCTGGGCAGTGCTTGTGAAGAGTGAATGCTGGGTAACGGTGGGAGGATGGACTTGATCGAAAGTGAAAACCTGCTTTTTCCCGGCGGCAGTGGATGGAGTTGCAACGGCAGTAGCAGAACCAGATGCAGCAGGAGCAGCGGAGGAAGCATCTACAGTCACGCTAGTGGAAGACGTTCCATGAATGACACTCCGTTGAAAACGAGCGGGAATGGAAACAGTGTCCTGTGTAGTCGTTGGCCGTATGCGCAGCGCTGTATTTCAGAAAATTAATGACGGGCAGAATAAAGGGTTGGATTCAAAGCTCACCGACTTGCACGGACGTCGACGCGCCCGACGACGACGAGGACGACGAGGGCGCCATCGCGGTTGTTGACGAGACTAGTATACTTCACACCAACCTCACAATGTACCAAGTATATCGGACTTTGCCGAACCGCTACCGAAGACTAATTTTGGGTCTGCCCATGTCAATGGATTATCGGGCTGATTAAGGTTGCAATATACTTATGTGATAGGTCACGAGACGGAAAAATGATATTTCGCTGTTTCGTCGTAAATATCTGCGACAATCTCCTGAGATCAATCCAGTACTGAGTCGACGCGACGAGACTCTGTGTTCACACCGCGCTCCGTTTCATTTACGGTCACTCATCTGACGTGTCCAGCGTTCCACTGTGCAGGACATCATTACGTCAAGTACATACTATGGTGAAGCTGGCGTGGCGTCGCAGCCAAGGATAGTCGTAAGGACAGCCATGAACGTTTGAACTGGTGCCCTCTTTCGCACCAGATTTCCGCATTCATGGTAGCTACCAGGAAAGATATGTCTGTGAACTGCGTGTTTTAAGTCACTGTCAATCGAAAAGAGACTTCATACCTTTCCCACATAACTTGTTTCATGATTGCCGCCGCGTCAAGACACGCTACCAAACCCCCCCTGCCACTACACGCGCCCAATGTGACAGCGTCCAATTTGAATGATGAAATGTTCATTCGGTTCTCATTTTTTATAATGCTCTGCGTTTTTTTCAGCCAGGAAGGAGGAAAGAATATGGCAACTTAGAGAAGTCTCGCATTATGTAATGCGTCCTTGACAAGGTTCCAACTCAAGCCATGTCGTGACGAGTCCTGGGAAGCTGTCGAACATTATCCCGAGGACCCCGTTCTGATGCGAACGGGTGAACGTAAGCAGAACCCGTCCAGGGCCTAAAGATAAGTTGAAGGCGATACAAGACGCATACCTACGCGTACGTGGTTATCGCCGTTGAAGGGTTAAAATTTAAATTGCACAGACTTCTTGTTCCTCTCGAGTCTATGTGTACCTGCCACCCAAAGGGCGCCTGGTAGAACGGATATCTTGTCCGTCTATATCCGTTTTTCTCTGCGAAGGCGCATCAAATTTATTCGTGCATGACATGCACCTCAATTATGTATATCAGAATATCCCCGACCACAAGGCGGGTCGTGATAACGAAGAATCAACCTTAGAGTCAACTGGAGGGAGTAGCCAACGGGGCGTTACTCACAACTGTCTGCAAAAAGTACAAGGATGTGGACTGGATGTAGCAGCTTTGGTTCTTGACCCGCATCTTCTCGTGGCATGCTCCAAAGATAAAGGAATTCGTCTGTGGAATCTGACCATTGGAGTGTAAGGAAGCCTTGGTTGGGTCACAATGACCATGTCGGGACGCTGGTTCGCTAGCGCGGCGATGAAAGGACCCCGACCTGGGCTGGGAAGTGACAATATAGAAAGGAGTGCCAGTATCGTTCGAGATGTGTGAATAGTTGAATTTGTACATAGACAGCGAGACTCTTCTGTAGGTGCATCGTGGAACAGAATAGTGCAGACGTAGCTAAGGAAAGCGAATAAAGCAGTTGGCCACCTCGAGCACGTAGCTTTCTGAACTGTCATAGGAAGCCTGTGAGAGAGCAAACCATCATTTGGGATACGGGCGAGAAACAGTTCTTGAAGGTTGAAAAGCGCGTATGCTTGAGATGATCAGATGACCACCGTATCGCCGGTTCGGATCAAAGAAAGACATCCGAATATCTGGTGTGACCACTGAAGACACTGTCCAACGGTTTAGCACAAGCACCGAACGCTTCCAGGGCAGTCGTTCCCAAAGGTACCAAACTCGTCCCAGCGTGCTCTGACAAAACCAAAACGATACGGTGTTCGGATCCACGTTCAAACTCATTGGGGAGCCCCGATGACAGTCATATCATGACGAGTATTGCGGATTTGATGATATCGAAAGTCGGGCATGGATCCTTACGAATTGATGGCACATAGTTTATCTGTCGTGTCATTCTGTCCCGTTTGCGAAGATCCCGAATCTATCTTGTATAGTTGTTACAACCTGAATATATAGGAGTAATATGGGTATGTTGAAGAAACCGAATTTGAGAGCCGAAAGAAGAAATTTCGTGAATGAATGATCGTGATGGATTTGTCGTAAGGAGCGTCACACTATGTGTTATGTCTAGTAGCCAACCAAGTAGTGCATATCAGCCCCCGCTGCCGGACCCGTCAGAAAGGCGCAAGGACTTACCAAGGCCTCGCAGAGGATGGGAACGAAGTACGAAAGCGCATATACTGCCAAAATTCAAAGCGTAGCTCAAGCTCTCTGAGTAGATGCGTCATGGAAGCCATATCTTGATTATCTGGTCAACACCAGCCGACGCGATGACATTCACAAGCTTTTCCGGTTCGCCAGCCTTCGCGTCTGTGCCATTTGATTTCGCCGTGGAAACCTTCTGCCGACCCCATGCAAGCGTTGCTACAAAGTGCGAGTGAGCCTCAACGGTCTTCATGCATCGCCCTGTGGACAGCTCCCAAACACGTATCGTCTTGTCGTCTGCCGCCGACAGAAGGAGCTTGCCGGAAGGATGGAAGACGAGTGCGCGCACCCAGTTGTCATGTCCGGCCTAGGAGGAATCAGTAGGCGTCTGCTACCAAGAGTAATGTACATACAAGGTTCTTAATCACCTGTCCGCTCTGGACGTCCCAAAGCTTGATGTTCTTGTCTCGAGATCCAGTAGCGACATAAGCCCCAGGACCCTTGGGGCCCACGTTCTAGATAGAGATGGTTTGAGATGTGTGATTACTGCTGATAGTTATCTGGGCTTACTGGCAGGCCCGCAAGCTCGCGAATAGCTGCGTATGCAGCCACAGGTGCAAAACAAACCGCTTCGAGCTCGTTATCATGCCCCCTTAGCTCTCCTTTACATTCTCCTGTCAGGGGGTCCCATAGTTTTGCAGTCTGAGGTCTCGGATGTAAAAGGATGTTTGTTGAACGAAAGATGAGGGTTTACCTTGTCTTTCGACGCGCTTACAAGTAGCCGGCCGTCATCTGAGGGTACCGCGCAACGCACCCACTCTGAATGACCACAGATCGTTCGTACTAGATGTCTTTTAAGCGTATGTAAAGTCAGCTCCCTGGAATAAGTGCGGGAGGGGATTCCTACGTTGATGCAACATCGAAAACGCGAATCGTGCTATCTCGACTTGCACTGACGATATATTGATCTCCTGGCATGAATCGCACCGATGATACCGAGTGATCGTGCCCTGATAGTGTCTTTGTGTTCTTCCACTCATTCTCAGAGTCCCATATCTTGATAAATAGGTCAGACGAACATGTCACTGTGAGCGTCCTCACCGATGTGGATTCGTCAGCGGTGCACGCACACACGCGCATGCCACTCACCGAGTAAGTGTCCCTTGTGGTCAAAATCGACATCATGGACGGCACGGTGGTGTCCCTTTAATGTCCGTTCGAATTCGCCTGTTTCCCAGTCCCATATCTTCACTGTTGCATCCTCGCTTGCAGAGGCTAATATCGAGTATTGTGGATGGAAAGCTACGCGTGTGATGTGACCTCTGTGGCCAGTCAACACGTGTGCAGCGGGGGCGCGAGGTACCCAATCTGCTTGCATTGCGGCACGTTTTGATGGAGCAATGGATAGTTCTTCTTGAAGGGATGAGTTTCGAGTCTCTAGATCCATGATCTGCGATATCACATGGATTTAATCAACAACACGACGATAGATGCACATCTCGGAACGCACCTTCTTCTGTAGCCGTATAACACTGGTCCATTTCTTCTCCAACAGACCCGCATACTTGGCCTTAGGATCCGGCGTATACTCCACCCCAGTGTCCTCCTTTAGCGCATTATACGCTGCTGTGAAATTGCTCGTATGCAAATACTCTAGCATGGATTTATGTCTACATCGATATATGGTCACAGTCAGTAACAGACAAACATTCCGGAGCCTGGTTCACGCACAATTCTTCTCTCTGACGGTCTGAAAGGAGCGCCATTCTGATTTCGACAACTTGTGGGCCGCCTGAACGCAATTGAGCTGAAGGTTGTGGGGCACGACGCGTCGACAAATGTTGTCACTGTTGACCAACTGGACAAGAAGTCAAGATCTTGTTTTGCCTTGTTGATTCCGCAAGTCGCGTCTCTATATAAGCTGCAGTGGCAGATTCAATTAATTTCAGTTGTTACAATTGGTCTATCACACAATTCCAGCCTGTATTCTAACCATGGGTATATCTGATATATACTGCATCTTTCGTTCCTCAGCTGTCCGAATAAATTCAGTCCCTAGCGCCAGCGGTATGTAGTGTCGGACGCTAGCTCGGCCGTCCCGTCAGGCACACGGTTGAACGTGATGTCACTGGCATAGACTAAAAGAAAGTCCAGCACATTTTTAATACGGTCACTATCCATTTCACTGTGGGATCACGGTCAGTTCTGACACTCAAAGATGCTTGTTGGGTTATTCTTACCAGACGGGCAGGTAAACGGATTGATTTAAAGTCCTGGGCAACCTCCTTCATGGCAGCCTCAACTGGCAGCCGCTCAAGTGAGCTAGCACCAAAAAAGCCATGAATGCCCTGAACCCTTTCAATCATATATTTTGCGTCCGATGGGGTGGCAATGGGACCGCCGTGGCAAAGAACTATAATTTCTGGGTTGATCTTCACAGCTGCATCTAGAATCTCCTTGACCCGGACCACGCAATCGTCGAGGGTTAACGCAGTTTTTGCACCGATAGTACCGCTAGTCGTGAGGCCCATGTGAGCTACGATGACATCGGCTCCTGCCTTTGTCATTCGTTCGGCCTCGTCGACGTTGAAGACGTATGGTGTCGTTAAAAGATCGAATTCGTGTGCCATTCGGATCATTTCAACCTCCTTCTCATAGCTCATTCCTGTTTCCTCCAGGTTCTGTCGAAACACGCCGTCGATGAGACCAACTGTGGGGAAGTTTTGGACTCCAGTGAAGCCCAGGTCTTTGACCTCCTTTAACAGTCGTGACATATCCCGGAAGGGGTCCGTCCCGCATATGCCTGCCAAGACCGCCGTATTTTTCACGATGGTCAGAGTTTCACGGGCCATATCTAGCATAATGGCATTCGCATCACCGTAAGGCATCAGACCCTAAACGATTGATCAGCTGGATTTCTATGGGCTCATAGCAAGACCACGCACTGCCAAGGACCCTCTACCAGCCATCCGATAGCGACCCGAGTTGTATAGGATAATCAGATCAATTCCTCCTGCCTCCTGTGTCTTTGCACTCAGCCCAATACCTGCACCTCCGCCTACAATCGCCCGCCCTTGGCTGATATTATCTCTCAGCCGCTTTAGCACCTGCTGTCGCTTCGATGTCGTTTTCCCTGCCATTATGGACCACTGGCGAAATAGTGCCCCGCATTTTTCCACGGGCAAAACCAACCGTCTCGCATCCACATATGGCATAATCTAAGGCGGCGCCCATATCGCCAAACGTGTCGTGCCAAGGTTTCCCGGACCCTGGTCTGCGTCCACGATGTCAACACCACCCACTGTCGCAGTTATAGGTACCTGCGACACCAAGTTAGAGGTTCTTCTCTTCTTGAAGCGTGCCGTTCAGTCTACTGCTGTCTGCGATGCTATCTTAATTGATATCGGGTCCTATGATCCATCTGATTTGCGGGACATTGACATTCCCCGCTCAGATGTGCTGAGGGAACATGCAACCACTGTCCATGATACGCCATCCCGCAGAGAAGCCCTGGAGACTATCACTATCGCCTTAACGCAGCTCCTGGCACGTCTACACTCAACCCAGAGTATAGCAGGGGTCATCGGAGCAGGGGGCTCGGGTAATACGAGCGTTTGCACAAAAGCGTTCCGAGACGCCCTACCCGTCGGTTTTCCCAAGCTGATGGTGTCCACCATGGCGTCGGGGAACGTTTCCCACTATGTGGGTGAAACAGATATCACAATGATGTACTCTGTTGTCGACGTCGCCGGCATAAATCCAATACTAGAAGTCATCCTAGGAAACGCAGCGGGTGCCATATCAGGGATGGCAAAGCGTTCTCTTAATCGTGCGGATTTGAAGTCATCACGCCCGACCATTGCAGTCAGCATGTTTGGCTTGACCACTCCATGTGTGCAGGTAGCTACCCAGAAGCTGGAGGAGCTGGGATACTCTGTAATCGCGTTCCATGCCACAGGTGCTGGGGGCTTAGCAATGGAGAGACTCATCCGCGAGGGTTATTTTGTTGGGGTCCTCGACATCACCACTACTGAGCTTGCAGACGAGCTAGTAGGTGGCGTACTCACCGCTGGTCCTCATCGCCTCGAGGCAGCAGCGAAGTGTGGTATCCCTCAGGTGGTGTCAGTGGGAGCCTTGGATATGGTAAACTTCGGACCAGCGGACACTATTCCGAAACAGTTCCAGGGGCGACTGTTCCACCATCACAACTCAGCAGTCACTCTGATGCGCACCTCCCGCGAGGAATGCTCAAAGCTCGGTCAGATCATGGTAGAAAAGTTAAAGGGAGCGCCCACCAATAAGACACGCGTTATCTTACCCTTGCGAGGTCTCTCCGGTATCGGCAAAGACAACGGACCGTTTTGCGATGCTGAGGCGGATGGTGCTCTGCTGGATGCACTGAGGAGTGGTCTGCAGTGCCCAGTGGAAGAGCTTGATGTGGATATCAACGACCCCTCTTTCGCATTGATGTTAGCCAAGGCGTTGCATGAGCTATTGCAGGCGAACGGACAATAGGGGAAATAGCAATGAAATTCTCGACTTCTGTAATACCAGTGTAGCATAGATAGGGAATAGCAGGCAAAACAGTTACAATGTAGCGAACAAGCGGATATCCACGTCCATTCAAAGTCCCATGTCCATGGCCGTTGTACAGCTGCAGTGTAAGTAGCGATGATGACAGCATATCCGGTCTTGGTGAATGTGCGACAAGGGAGACAAGAGAGGCTATGGTTACATGATTGAACGAGAAAGAGAAAGCAGGAAAGATGGAAAGATGGAGAAACTCAACATGGTGACGGATATACACACTATAGGAAGTACATTCGGCGCAAAACATAGAAATCTAAATCCAGTGTTAGTGATGAGATGTTTTTCGCATTTCTCTGCAAAGGGAAAGGGAAAGGTCGTAAAATCGTGAAGACGCTGGCTTCAGTAGGGCACGCTGCCCATACCCATGAAGTTCTGTCCAGGGGGACCAGGGCTAGGGTGACGCATGACACTCTGGTGCATGGCCTGAGTCTGCTGCATACCAAAGGGCGGGCTCATCATGCCCATCCCCATTTGCATGGAGAGCAAATGCGGAGACAAAGCACCGCCCATGGCCGGCGACATTGCGCCGTACATAGCGGGAGTGTTCGCCATGTTCGCCATGTTCATCGAGAACATAGCCTGTTGTGGGGGAGGAGATTGCGATGGCGGTGTGGGACCGTCGGATGCTCCCCCTGGTTGCTGCTGATTCACCTGCATCTTCTGCATCGCTTGAAGCTGATGGCGATATGAATACTAAGCCAAACCCAAACTATCCACTACGTACCTCGTAAAAGGCAAAGTCCTGCAGCAGAGAGGTTCTCGCAGGGTGGGTGTGGAAAATACGGAGCATTTCTTGACCAGCTTCAGGTAACAGCTCCTGAGTGTCTCGGGAGTTCGTCACTGGCTTACGCTCTTGCGTGTTGCTAACCGAACAGTCAGCAAACAAGTCCTTCTGTTCGCGAGGTGACTTACTTCAAGCGGATGTGCCTCAAATTGGCATTCGGAATATCACGAACAAAGATCCATCGCACTTTGAACACCCCCTTCCACTTGTCGGACGCCCATACTGTACTGCTTCTCGTGTAGTCCACCTACATGGAAGAATGGTATGAACCTTTGGAGGTCCGAGAGCAACAGATACGTACTGGAGTCAACATTTCCGCCATTCCGCAAAAATGACCACTAAGGGTGAAAGGTGAGCATATGTTGGCATTGAATCGTTAAATCACTTGCCTAGCATTCACACTGAAAAACAGGTAGATGGGACCCCTCCCACCACATTCTTTGAAGGCCTTGTCAAGTCTCTTGTTTCCGGGATCAGTAGAACTCCAAATCTCATACTTCAGAGATTTGTGAACATCGTCTTCTGTGTATGACTTGATGACAAAATAGCGAGCCTAGGCAGTGTTTTAAATTGAGGTGGTGACATCCGAAGACAATGAGGACGTACAAAACCAGGGCGAATATCGAAATTGGGCGGGTTATATCCCTTTCCAGCGATCAGGGTCGGAACGTCAACCGGAGTGTTGATGAACCCGGGAGCAGACTGGGTGTTGTTGTCACCTTGTGTCTGTCCATGGCCAAAGGAGCTCCCCATTCGGGGAGCTGGACCGCTTTGTTGATTAAGATACTGCGAAGGAATGGATGGCACATTAGGGATATTGTTTTTTTGACCCTGATTGTATCGATAGTTCAGGTTGGGATTAGAAGTGCGTTGACCAAGCTTCTCTTTTTGCTCCCAAGACGTAGCCCCGGTGGCAGCCATTGCACGGTCAGCGTCGCTCATGGATCCAGCACGCGATTGGTGCATCTGTTGTTGAGCCCCAGTCTGCTGACCGTATGCGGGGGCACTACCGGGCGCCGGTCCGGGCTGTGCAGTTGGGGTCTTGCGCCCATCAAGATCAGTGTTCAACTGCAATTTACGAGACGAGCCGTTGTTGGCACCCTGCATGTTGCCCGAGCGCATCCCAGGGGAAAGGGCGGGCGGTGGATGGGTGGGTTGGAACCGAGGAGGGTGGGCAGATTGTCCTGCTTGATATCCCGTATTACTGACGTAAAGATTGTTGTTCATGTCGAGGTTGGATAGAGCGCGAGCGAGGTCGTCAGGATTTCCGGTTCCTGCCCCGGAAAATGATCCACCAGGGGTCCGCCACTCCCCAGTGCCAGGAGCGTTCCAAGGAGAGGACCGCCCCATAGGGCTTGTTGGATATTGTCCTTGGCCTTGACCAGCATATTGCTGCTGCAGCTGCTGCTGTGCGGGTGGAGGGGACCGGGAAGCAAAGTAGGACTCGTCTTCGTAAGGATTGACAAGCTCCTGTTCCTCGATGTACTCCTCCTCTCCATGTGGAGGGCTGGGGCTATGCCCGACTGGGGGATGACGTCCGCTGCCTTGAACAGTCCCAGCACGCTTGAGCCCTGAAGAGGTCATTTGCCTGACGCCACTCTGAGCCCCATAAGTCAGGCTCTGGTGACGCCGCACGCCCGACCCGGCGGGAGGCGGGGAAGGGACGTGCGAAGTTGAAAATTGAGGCGACAGAGGGGATGGATTGCCCGCAGACGACTGCGATTGGGCGTCAACGACTTGTTGATGCTGGGCAGACTCAGAATTGGACATATCGTGCTGAAGAAAGGAGGGTGAGTATAAAAGTTGCCAATAGAAAACAGTGGGGAGGTAAGACCAATATTAGAATGATATCCGTGAGGTGGAGTTCACCAGTAGCGTGGAGGATGTGTAAATTGAGCAAAGACTCACTTCGTCTTCATTCTGAAACCCTCTCATTTCGCTTTCCCAGTCCTCTTCATCGCCTTCGTGGCCAGCGATGGCAGACAAACTATTCATAGTCCTTGGGGTGAGATTTCCAGCCTGTCGTGAGCTTTTCTGCCCATGGAAGGCTGGAGGGAATACAACGGTAAGCTATGAACAGCAACCTGATGCATCTCTCACATACCCTTATACTTGGTGGGGAGCGAACTTTGCCGGTGCAATGAGACAGTTTTCTCTCCCACTGCGCCAACTCCGCCAACCCAATCCTCATCAACGGGTTCATCATCATTCCAAAGTTGTTGCTCCTGTGTTTCTTCAGTAATGGGAGCACGAGCACCAGCCCTCGCCGTGCGTGATGATGCTGAGATCGTGTGATGACGCCGGACACCACCAGTTGAAGGAGGAGAGACTGGTACAGGAGGAGGGGAAATCTGATGTGCCCCCTGCGATGACATCGGCGATAAATTTTACGTCTTCTGCTCGGCTGATTTCTTGGCTGGAGAGACTGACCAGAGAAAGCAGATGATCAAAGCGATCTAGCAAAAATCAGAAGAGAAAGACAAAAAAAGTGGAAAACGTGGGTGAGTTACCGACTAGTCCGAACTTCTCATGCGCCCAAGCTGGACCGTATCATGAAAGCTGTCGCCGCTACCTCCGCACACCCAAATATATTTACCTTACTCGGAAACAACTGATTGCAAAAACTGTGCATTCTCATTGCATTAACACAGCACACAGCTGTGCCGTGATTATGATATGTAGTACGTATGTTTGTCAAATGAAAAATCGTGAGACACGCAAAAGGCAAGGTAAAGGATCAAATATTTAGGATCATCATCTGACAGATATTCACATCTCTTGCAGTGGAGTTTCTGACCTAGGCGCGGAGTAACCAGCAGGACAGCAGAATTTCACACTGCAACAAGAGAAACTTCCTTACTTTGTTCCGAGCTGTCATTTACCGCCGTAGTGAACCCTGTATAAATCGTCAGTCAAGATAATGCCGCCTCACCTAAGCACTCCATGCGTGCAAGGGTGGCAATTTGTACAGCCTGAACACCACGCCCCAGAAAATATAGATACGAGCTTGTCGAAGGGTATTATGGTACTGGATATACCCATGGGCCATGTGTACGGTTTGGTACGGCGCTAGTAATTCTTACTGGTACGGCTGCCATAAGAATCAGTCGAAAAAGAATACGACACCGAAAGCAGGATCCCTGGAAGGGTTTCGCGGAGAATTTGCGTTAACAGAGCTCATCCAAACCGCCTCGCAGTGACACACCACACACCTCTTGCCAGAATGTAAGCTGTGGCACACTAAAGAGGCCCGTGTTGTACACGAATGTGATCAGCACCTTTCCGCATCTGCCGCGTCACTAGAGAATAACGCGCGGAATGAATCCTGTCAAAAAGACTTTATTAGTCGTTTGTGGCACCTCAAGCTGACATACGGTACAGAAGAGCGAAACACCAAAGGTGGTCTTAAAATGACTTTCACAATGAAGAAAGCCAGTAGAGGAGCGTAGGTGACAGCAAATACAACTGCTACTGCAAGTAAACTTCCGTAGTTATATTCCGGTAGCCATGAGTGGGGAAATAAGTAAAAATTTTCACGCTCACGTCGACAATTATGATGCCCTGTGGCTTTGTGCAGCAGGGGAGCAACCTGAAACGCGTTGAACATCAAAGCGGAACAAATCCTGATGTCAAGTTCTTGTGGGGCAGTGCGTCGGAATAATCCCGATGGCAGTCGCTGAACCTGTCTGCCCAAATTGTGAGAGGCAGAGCTCTGTTGAGCTTTGCGTAGCTAAACTGTACAGCGAATATATGTGTGCCTCAACACAGTGACAGTTGCAACGCTGCTGCATAGGCCTAAATGATCATGAAAATTCAACATTACACATTTGGACTGCTGTAGCTGAACGTACCGCTGCTCAAGGTTTGACATATCACCTTGGTTCTGGATATAGACTCACATCTGAGATGCGTGAGCTGGTGTTTGCATCAACCCAAGTCCTCCTTGAATCTAAACCACGACCATCAGGTAGGGTGACACTGAGAATTGATCACTTATTACTTAGTACATGATTACGCCGCCGCGGCATTCATGAACCTTGCTGCTAAGCAATTTCGCTGGAATCCAGATTATGAGGGGCCTTGCAAAGTTTTGTGCGTGTGCGGGATGTGTGCTGCGAATTCCGCAAGTACCTACAGCTTTTCACATGAAGACAATCATAAACATGATCACATCACTGAAATTCACTTAGCTCGATATGATAAGACTTAAATCCCGATTTTAACTATTTCTTTTTGGTCATGGTAACGCAGTACAATGGAGTATATCCCGTATATCAAGCACGTGTAATATTATTACCCCTTGATAATTTTCGCCTTGATGTAACACTTGATATGCTATTATAAAGGTGTATCAAATGATAAACAGACGCTTAGATTTCTACCATCCTTACTCCATACGATTTCACTGTCTCAATTCCTGCAAAAAAAACCTCATTAGATAGTCTTATTAAATATATAATATCAGGCAAAAATCAAACTGCCTAAAGTTTATATCTTACTAGCAAAGACGATCATGATTCCTGTGGCCGCACACAGACTATCGCCAGCTATAGCCGTTATATGATAGGTACAGACGTGTTCTAGGATGCAGCGTCATCTGCCCAAGTCCATCATGGAGGGTAGGAGACATAATGCCATGCAATGAGTCAGAGGAGTCTTGCCACTCTAGTTCAAGTTGGCGTTGCTTCTGATGTCTGAATTGGTTTTCCGGCGAGTCACTGGCAGGTTTGAACTTGAACTTGACTCCTACCAGTATGATACTGGTACTTCTCGCGCCGGGTCACTAGCCAATCCAAGTTGCTTTGAAGGTACGAAGCTCTCGCGATATGAAAAAATTACGATCTCAAAATTTATGGTCCTCCTACCAGTACTGTCTACCATATGTAAGGATCAAGCGTTTGATCCCGCGGAACCAATTCGCGTTGCCTCCTGTCCGCGGATATATCCATGCACTTGATCCTCTGTGAGTGGCCTTTGAATTCTTTCACAATCCCCGTCTCAACCTCACAGGCTTTCAGCTCCCTGGGTTTTCCTATTCCACTGGCACTAGCGGTAACAACCCATCGACTGTCACTTGATACCGCCAGTGCCATTAACTGCTTCTCGCAAACACCCCGCGCTTCCTCAAGCTCCTTACCCGCCTTCAGATCCCAGTGCCGAGTGGTCATATCATCAGATCCGCTGATCATTCGCTGGCCGTCAGCAAAGTAGGATATGTATCCAATGTCGTCTCCGCGGCTATCACAACAGAACTGTCAGTGCGCTCAAGTGTCTTCTTGGTAGCATCGATACTTCGACTCTTGAATGCGCTGCGGCTCTCCACTGAAGCACAGAACTCGCGTGCCGACAAGGCCTAGGCTCGTCTCGTGCTCTTCATGCGCAGTCAGACTCGAGCTCATCATCCGTGCGAATGTTGTGGGATAATGCCGCGCCAGCACGCTGCAAAACGACGACGCTGCGCTAGGGACGACGGTAGAATTGCTTGTTTCAGACGACGCAAATCAGCAGAAGATAGTCCGCCACTGAAGGAGTGAGGACGCTCCTTTGCATCATTCCCTGTTGCTATCTTCAGCTGGGGCTATCCACGCACGCCCCTCATTCTAAGACCTCGTCAGGTTTGGACACTTCTGCTGATGCACTAGCAGGTGCCTATGTATTAGTAGCAAATAAATGGAAGGCACTACGAGCGAGAACAATTACAATCAAAATTTGAATGCAGGCCCATCCTCAGAGTCGCTGATAGAGTCATCTGAGTCATCTACATCACTGTCGCAAGGTTCGGAAATCTCCCCATCTTCATCCGCGTCATCCTGGTTGACATCATCATCCAAGTCTCTATCACTTTCATCTCCGAAGTCAACATGGGCATCGGCTTCAGTGTCCTCGTCATCCGAAATGTCTCCGTGACTAACGCCAGTACTTCCGCTCCCCGCTGCGTGATCAGGCTGGACAATATTCAATGAGTCGTATTGAACTTGATGACCAACGCCTATGCACGCAAACCGGCAAAACATGTCCCTGTCAGCGAAACTGCACGAGTTATGGTGATATGAGTATGAAACGAGACAAATCTTACATGTTGACGTAAAACGAAGCCCAGTCGTCGACCTCTCCAGGCAGTCTTGCAGCCGAGGGACCGTGTCTAAGTAGGTCACTCGTACGATGACTGGCGAAAGCAGGGATAAGGTGGCAGGCCCTGATCACTACTGACGGGTCAAGAAACCCGAAGGCAGCAGGTGAGTCGGGAATGAATCCAATCTTTGGTAGGCGGCCTTCTCGGAAGCCCCAACGGTACTGTGGCTCCACACCGAGCCATCGCACCCACAAGACCTCTATGGACTGAGGTGAGCGGTTACGAGCATTAGGGCCGACATGAAGAACATTAATACAAAATGCGCCCAACACCCGTGCATACCAAAAAGGGTGAGCGCCCGCACTACTTTCTCTCGACAACATCATCACTGTAGAGCCATTTCCAGGTTTGAGCGTGTCTTGATCCCTACGGACATCGTACGTCGTATAATTGATTTGGAAGCGCTTAGGTTGGAAAACGCCGTTCAGGTTGTTGATGAACCGCACATCGTTTCGCTCGACATCCGTGAAATCTCGTTCGTCGCCGTCATATTCTAAACCCAGCAAGCGGGAAAGAATATGGTCTTTAATTCTCGGAATGAAGTCCTGTAATATAATATTATTAGACGTGTCAGAACAATCATACAAAAACATCTTACCACAACGGCAGGGTCGCCTCGATGCTCGTCAAGATAACGAGCTAGATTGATGACGATACCCGGATAACTCGCTAAAGAGTGGTGGGCTTCCAGCGGTAGTAGGCTTCCGACAGGTTGTTTATCGTTAGTATTGCCAGATTCTTGCAGACGGGTGATACGAGTCCGCCTCCGTTCTTGCTTCGCTAGCTGTTTCAAATGATCTTGTTTATTTGTGCTCTGGTAAAACCTTTTCAGAAGCCTGTGTGCGAGCTCGCCCTGAAAATTCAAAGGATTGAGCTGTTTACTTGCCACTCGATGAGGATGTGTACATACAATTTGGGTATTGTACGAGTCAGTCGTTCCGAACGTTTTGATAGAGCTTACGTAGTCACCAAGTGCGTGTACCTTATACGTTTGCATATTGAAAGCCTTGGGACGCGCTCCGGATGGCGCTGTTCCTGCGCCTGCCGAGTTGAGATTGGAATTCTTCCTTTGACGGGCCGCAACTTCCCCTGCGAGCTCCATAGTCCGAAATGCTGAACATGTGGAATCCCGAAATTTGCGAAGCTGCTGTCCTAGACATCGAGTAGCTCGACTAAGCAGGTCAAGGGAGTCTTCGGTGTGTATTCGAAGTTTGGCGAGAGCGTGCCATTCAGCCAAACGAAAGAGGAGAATTCGTACAACGTCGTCGTGCGAGTCTGGGAACAGACCCTCGAACGCCGGAATCGCACACTGGACGACAATCATGTTATGATAAATTCAAGAACAGCGCTGCGGCAGGGATCAAACTAACCTGTAAGATATCTTCGAAATGCCGTGCAGCTCTTTGTTTCACCTCAGATACATTTGGAGGGAAACGTCGAATGGCGCCCTTGCCAAATGACGGAATTAAGTGAAAACTTAACATCGAGGGATCATCAGCATCAGTTGAGGCTGCCATGCTAACGAGTACATACCGTTCATTCAGTAAAGTTACTAATTCGTGATTAATGGCATAAAGAAGCCTTATGAGATGCTTGAAGACGGATTTGAAGACGCCAAGCTCAAATTCATGCAATATATCAACCACGAGCATAGGAAATAAATTAAGGCCTAGATGCCCGAGTCGTTCATTGAACGTATTCTAAAAGTAAAATATACTCAAATCGTTCAAAAGGTCAATAATTAAATGCGCTTACCAAGGTTGGCACCAATGAGAATTCCTTTAGAAGACGTTCGGCCACAGCACCTTTGATCGGAGCACCGAGCTTGTATATAGCCTCACGTGCTACAAAAATTTTATCTCGCAGGTATAAGCGAACATTGTTGATGCGTGCCGATATGTCAGCTTTGAGACCGAGTTGATCAAAGCGTGATTTCGGCAAAATACACCGGGGACATGGGCAAATTCCTTTGTCACGAATAGTAGCAAGAAGGACTCTATTTGAGGTTATCAGTTAATGTGCGGAAGCCGAGGTGATGACTTAGCTGACTTTTCCGGGTAATCTGCAGAGTAGGTGAATATCCTCGGAAACACACGTCGAGACACGCCATCATGGCATTTGATCACAATCCCATTCCTATATGCGTCTACAAACTCGTCATCTAACAGAATCCGCCAAAGCGCATGGAACAATTCCCGTTTGCAATGTGCGAGGATGTCGCTGATGCCCTTCGTCTTGATATACTTGCCAATGAAACCCACAATAGAGTGTGGTAACTAGAGATGAATCATGTTAGGGTACTTGTCTGATGGGAAGGATGTAAACTTACCGACGGGATGAATGCGATAGGGTGACACGCATTGGTGGTTGGACAAGCACGAACATATTTCGATTGATTTCCAAAAAAAAGGTATACCGGCCATGCAGAAGCATTGCCAAATTGAGTCAAGTGCGTCGCGTCAGACCAAAACATAAGTCCGGCTATCACCCGCTCCAGGTTACATCCATCGTCCCTCTTTTGCTTTTGCAGCTCGTCGTGGGCCTTATTCCACGCATCTGACGTGTAAAGCTCGTCGTATAAACGTTGTTCTCGTCCAGTTAATGGTGATTTCCAAAACCGTTTGAAAGGAGTGAGATGGAACCACCGTGAAGACGCCTCGGAGAAGGCCGCGCGAATGACTGCTACAAGGGGCCGGTGATGGAAACCTGGTACAGTAAACAATTCCCCGTTGCCACCTGCATTTCTCTCCCTAGTTGGCACAAGTATTTCCGCCACTGATTCCCTCCAGCTGTCTCTCTGGAAGATACCGCTGGGGTCTAGTGTTGCTTCGGAGGCATCGAAGCGCAGCATTTCGGTGTGAGCATTGAAATCAGCAGGGACGTCATCGAGACTGAAATCCCTCGCCTTCAGTACTTCACGAACAAGGCGGGTCAACTGAGATTCAGACGTTAGACCGCTATTGCTCGTCATCTTCCAAGACATCAAGCGCCAGACGCTCATATTTCTCCACGGCCAAGGGGGTGACTGCGATGGAATTTCTGGGCTCCCAGGATGATCAGCTGACTGCCGTTCATCAAGGGAAGGGGAATCAGACATGATATTGGATAGCTGCTCAACGGAGACGATAGCGTCTGGGTCATACGATGGTCGGTGGCGATATTCCCGTCCAATTCCAAATGTATTGAGAGATGTGCGAAAAGAATCGAATACATAAAGAACCACCCGGCGCAGAGCAGTTGTTGAAGCTGGTGCTGAAATAGCAGGTGGGGGGACTGGGAGTTCGTCTCTAAATCGTAAAGGCAGCCGATGCGTTCGAGAGGGACGGCCAGCTCCACTCTCTGGCTGCTCCTCCTGCACGATGTCAAATGCAGAGGTGCTAGATGAGGCCACTGCCGGATCATTGATGCTGGGCGGAGATGCAGGAATATTGGAAGAATCAGATGTCGATGTATTCATGGGTGGAGCGTCAGAGGCAGAAGTTGGCTAACGTTCAAGTAAGTGGAGTTCAGAGCACGGTGTACGGCAAATGCACTTACTACTTGAGCATCAAATTTCATTTTCTTCGCAGGAGGAGCTTCCGAGTCTCGTAGGGACGCAGAAATGCGTTTGAAGTGTTGTGACTGTAGAGTCAGCTGCTTCTGCCAGTGCGTGCAGGTCTGACGGTGACGGGTCAAGTTTCTAGGCGCTGAGAACGACCGGCTGCAATCCCCTCCACATTTGAGAGACATGCTAATGAAAGTAACGAGAAGGATAAAAGCTGTCAGATCCTTGAGAATATAAACGAGTTTCATCGCCTCTTCATACTATGCACCACGGATGTGACAGAGGGATCACTTTGAACCCGCCAAAAGGTCTGTGTTGTGCTCGTGGGACTCTTGACACGGCATCTGCGAGATCCGCCCAGCTGCGCCCTGAGTGCGCGGTTCGATGGATAACGTGATCTGTAGCCAATAGAAAAACTGAAAATTTCGACGTTTGAGATGTTTGAAATTTGACGCGACACATCGCATCGACATTGCGTTGGACCTCCGATGTTTATGACATTCGTCGTTCATAAACTACTTTTTCTTCAATTCAACTGGTGATTTAGGAAAACATTTCAGACTCGTGCAGAGATCTATGCGAGGTATTATGCGTCAAGTCTAATCAGAGTGAACAATGAGAGTATTGTAAAGCCGTAGTAGGAACCATGGAAAACAGCGAGGAAATATCAGAGCAGGTTTTCTCTAATTAGAGTACGAAGGAGGTCCTGAAGCATCATTGTGTCAGAGTCAACCCGACAGGACAAGGGGACCGAGCTTACCAGCAAAGCGCACGGAATTCTGTATGGCGGATTGCAAGGACATCTTCTCATCATCCGAGAGACTATCGATGATCCGAGCGAGACCATCCAGGGAAGCCTTGCGGTCTTCCTCTGCAACCTCTGCAAAGTGGCTGAGTAGATGATCAGCCTTGAGTTTCGACAGGGCCGGCGATATGTCGAGCTGCTCAAGGACTTCGGCCAGAGTACGATTGTCGGACAAGTCACTGGCAGGGATAAGTGAATCCAACAACACGGCGCGCTCCTCCGACTCCATTTCGGGGTTGCCGTCTTCAATCTGCTCAAGTAAGTCGGAGCGTGCGATGCGGGCACGAAGGGCCCAGTAGAAGTATCTCCGGGCGTCTTTCCATACAGCGGGCTTCGCACAACCTTTGGCTTCCATTCGCCCAGAGCGACTGTAGAGAAATCAGACAAAGATCATCCTGCAAGGTTGAGGGAACACCTACTCATGGAGGTCTGCGTAAAGCAAAGCGAGCTGCTTGTATGTGGGCTGCAAAAAGGCCTCCCTACTGGCTAGTGCCTGCGTTGCCTGGGCTCTCTCCTCGACGGTTTTGGCTGCATCCTTGCTGGCTTGCTTAAGGTCTGCGTACGTCGAGTCAAGGCGCTCCATCAATGTCAAGATCTTGTCTCGGCGCATCTTGATCTCAACGATACCCTCCGGTTCGAGAACACCAGCACGAGCCTCGACGTCTGCATACATTTCCATCTTCTCCGGGTTGATCGAGAGATCAAGAACGACCCAGGCACCGCCGCGCAGTTCACCATTGGGAACGATGTAAACAAAGACAGGTTGTTTGTAGGCGGACAACCCATCGACGATCTTGGAGCCCTGTTTGAGCACCTCGTCGTACATGTCCTGCTGACCACCGGAGAAACCACGCCAATTGGCGAAGATGATGAGAGGGAGTGCTTCGCGATTGAAATCGAAGATAGCTTGGGCAGTTTTATAGGCAGAATTGGGGTACCAAACTTGACCTGCCTCCATGACCCGTTGTTCAAATGATGCAGGGTTTGCAGGGTCTGCAGGAACGATGCGCTCAATTGTCCGAGTCTCTACAGCAATGACACCCATGGGAATGCCACCAAGGCGTGCACGGCCAACGACGACAGTCTGGGCCCACCCGCCGAGTGTCTCCTGGAAGGACCCCTTGTCGAAGAAGCCAGGGAGCCACTGCGACGTGTGTTCATCTTCTTTGCCTTCGATGAGCCAACGGGGATCATACGGGCCCTTGGGAGGTGTGAAGGCGATGTCGCGATCCCAAGAATCTGAAGTTTCACGAATAGGCAGGGAGTCGCCCTTCGACTCTGGAACATATGATAACCACTGCAAGATGTGCGTGACACCCTCCAAGTCGCTGCTAGCGGTGAGATGCGATACACCGTTCTTGTACATGATCTGCGTCCCTCCAAGCTGCAGGTTGGAGGTATATACCTCTCGTCCGAGCACCTTGTTCAGGGCTGGAGCACCAGTGAGGATGATAGGCTGGCCTTCGACTTGCACTGCACGTTCTCCAAGACGTACGAGATAAGCTCCAATTCCAACTGATCGAGCGGTGACCAACGTGATCGTGAAGATGTCGTCGTATGCCCGTGATGTTTCACCAGCGATAAGACCTGATCCCTTCAAACTCTCAACACCGAGACCGTCCTGCAAGCCTATGATGTCGGTGATCTTGTAGCGCAGCTCGCCGTTAACCTCCAGCTCAGCCGTGCGCACAGCCGCAGCAGCCTTCTCTTGAGCCTTCAGGTAATTCTCCCTAGTCAGGTAGATGTAATCGATGCCCTTCTCCGGGTGTTCATCATCATTCCAGGCACACGAAAAGAGGTTTATCACTTCTTCTCCCAGGCCAATGCGAGCGCCAGAGTTGGCAGACAGGTAAATGCGAGGAAGGCCGTGTTCACGAGCGTACTTGGTGACGATGTAGAAAAACTGATCTTCGATGGGACCAAACGAGCCGATTTTGTAGGTGATGTCGTTTGCAATCACTACCACCTTGCGCCCGCTGGGATACTCAGGTGTCCTGAGAGTGAAAACCCACGCAACCATACCGAAGGTGTTGTTTCCTGGAGCACGTTCAACTTCCGCGAGTTCATCGTGCTCGTCAAGCACGAGTTCCTTCGCCTCCAGAGTGATCTTCGGCGAGTTCAAGGAAGAATCGGTCGCACGAGCCTTGATCCAAAGGTTGTGCAAGGCTTTAGAAAAGAGCTCAGGGAAGTCGTAAACATAAGTGGTACCGATGAGGTGCGCCTGGTATCGCTTGGGTTGCAACGACTCTTTGGTTGGGTACGGTTGGTGGACGGGTTGGAGGTGGAGAGGTCCCTTTTCTCCAATGGATTTCAGGATAGTTGTGCCTTTGTCCGTTGTAATCTCCTGATAGCCATGGAAGTTGACTACAAATCCAGATACGTTCTCTATGATGCAGCGAATAGGGGTAACGTTCCCCTCGCCGTCTTCCAGAGCAATGCGAATTCGGAACCAGTGACATGGAGACGCCATAACCGCTTTCCATGGCGCTCCATGAATCCGGCAATAGCCGTCAAAACATCTTCATACGAGACTGCAAGGTTGTAGACAAAGTTCATGAAGATGTGATTGACGTCAGCATTGCGGTGCTGTGCACTGACGACTTCCAGTGCGTCGAGGACACTGGTAACGAGACGATCGGTTTCAGAAATGAGGTACTCTGCGGTACTCATCGAGCCACGTAGGCGTCCGGGACGGACGAGTGCGCGAATGAAGAAGCGGTTGTCCAATTGGTTCTCCCGAGCAACGGCATGGTAAATGTGAATCTGCTTAGTCTCGACGAAACAGGGTGTGAGCTTGTAGTGGGACAAACGGCTGAGCTCTAGTTGGGAAGCAAGAGCCGGCTCAATGTTACGGATGGCTTGCTCCTCGACCCAGGAGCCGCCGGAATTGCGAAGGGTGAAGTACATCGGGTATTGTCCGCGACGACAAATGAGAATCGTTACGCGGCGGACACCACGCTTTACAAGTACAGGATTGCGTTCGTTCAAGAACTTTGTCAACTGCTCTGCCCAAGCTTCTTCGGCGATGCTGTCGGTCTTGTCAAAGATACGGAGTGCTAAATTCATCACGTTAGGCGGCTGGTTGCTGCCATAACGCTGGCTGAATTCTTCGACATCAAATATAGGCAGGAAGTCGGCAACCTTCTCGAAGCCTCGTGCCATGGCAGCAAAGTCAGAGAACGACGAAATAACACCGCTCCGGATAGGCTGCGACTGGCTGCGACTGATGAGATAAGTCAAATCGCTGACTGAGCCCTGACGGCGAGGGTCGCTGTGATCAAGTGAGTGAGTCGATTGAAGAGGCTGCTGTACGGTGGACTCACGGTGCAGTGACGCTTGGAGTCGACGGTGGCGAGTGAGATTGACCAAGGTTGAACCTCCAAGTGGCAGCGCTCGGCGATTCGCCATCGTCCGAACCATCGCCCTCCTCGTAGTCAATGGAGAGAAGTGAGTAAGCACGGTAAGCACGTCGGATATAAACCTCAAAGGCAGCTGATGAACGGTCTCAGTCAAAATTACTGGGTCAGTTCATCAAGTTCAAGACGCACCCATGGTGACGACTGGGTCGGCATGCGAGAAGAACGCAGGAAGGACGTCATATACGGTATAACGCGAGTCGCTCAACTCTCTTAAAATTTCAGACGATGGAGCCCTGAAAATGTTGTTAGCGAGAGTCGCGACATTAAAATGATGATTTACCTGTTAGTAGCGCCAGATTCGCCATAAACGCTCGAGGAGACCGACGCTTTCAAGATGGCTTCCATTTGAATTAAACGCTCTTCGTACGACGGCATCTGCCCGAGAATGAGAACCTCGCGAGCCTTAAGAGAAACTGGGGTGGACGACCTGAAAATTCTCGGTGAGTAATGAGAACGAGAGAAGATAGAGGACCTTACTTGGATTCGAGAGCTGCAAGGTCATTCAGGACCTGGTATAGTCGGCTTTCTGCATTCGAAACAGGCAAACCACCTGTCTTGACATAGTCAAGCATGGCCAACACTAGCTTCGCCTTGCTCTGCGCCTTCGTGTGACTGAGCACAAGCGCTACAACGTTGTCGAGATCGTCCTTGTGTTGTTCTCGAAGCTTGAGGACACGAGCCTCAATGCTTCCGCCAAAGAGTTTTTCGGTCTGCTCGTATGCAGAAAGCAGGTTGGCGATTGTGTGCACCTCGTGACCCTTCATGCCACCCATAAAGCGCTCCAAGACATCATATAGAGCAGCAAGCTGCGAGCGAAACGTTGCCTTGTCATGGGACAAGATGGAATCCTGGACATAGTGCTCGAGCACTTTCTTGATGCGCACTGCGGGGAACTCGTGAGCGTCACTCTTCGACTTGGCGGTCTCGATCGCGCCACGGATACCCTCTTCAAGCTTTGCGGGCATGCGGCCAGAAAGCGCAGATAAGATAGTGTTGACCTCAGAGTAAGGAAGCTCTGGGTCGTGCAGCACCTCGACGAGGTCCTTGAAGGTCGAGGCCATGATCGCCTGGTTGTCATAGCCCTCAAGAATCTCGTTTAGTGTGCTCGTGCAGCGAACAAAACGCTGATAGGTCTTGTTGCCAATGATGCCAGGGAGACCCATAGGAGGGAGGAGGCCTTCGAAGGGTTTAGCATGCTTGACGCGGGCAGGGTCGTCGAGGGTGAGGATGCCAAGAATGTCACCAGGCTCAAGGCTGACACCAGGCTGCTTGACAAACTGAACTACGCCGTCCTCAGCAGCTACCAGTGGCATATACATCTTCATGACCTAGAGGTAACTAGCTCAGGCTCTGAAATATCGCGTCTATTACTATATAAAAGACTACCTCGATTTCTGCGTAGGTCTCGCCAGCGTTAATATGGTCACCGCTATCGATAAGGAATCTGACAAGCTTGCCAGGGCTCGGGCTTCTGAGTTGCGTGGGGTCATTCTCCTGCTCAATTAAACACGTCTTGGCGTCGACCATGAGACGCAGCGCGCCTACTTCCTCTCTCCAATATACGGAATGACTCCGACCATCGAGCATGACGAGCAATCCACCATCAGCCAACGGACGAGCACCAACCATAGTTCGACCACCGTTCAAAAAAAGCGTCCACATATTTTGAGGAGCGTGCGCAAGTAAAGTTGTACCGCGTGTTCTCATAGATGAAGTCAACACCGAAGACGGTCTTGAGGAGGTCACGAGCAGGAACCTGACCCTTGTCAAGGATGCGCTTGTACTCGCTGATGCAGGCTTCAGCAGCAAGATGAGCCTTGGTGACGGCACCACAGACGACAGCAAGGGTAGCATCAGGACGTTCGGCGGTGAGCTTATTGCTGATGAGGGTGTCCAGCCATCCGGTTGTGAAGGTGTTCTCGGTGAACGCCTCGAGCTCAAGGAGCTTGATGAGGTACTCGACAGTAGTTCGGAAGTCTCCGCGAATGCTAAGCTCCTTCAACGCGACAATCATGTTCTTCCTGCTCTCGGATCGATCCTCGCCATAAGCGAAAATATGACCGAATTGAGAATCAGCGAATTCGTGTAAACCACCCGCCGTGCTGACGGAGAAGTAACCCCACACATTCGTGCTGGAACGGAAGTTGAGCTCTTGCAAAGATCCAGATGAAGGTTTGAATCCAGCGTCAGGGTTCTCGGCAGTGATACGAACTGCAACGACATGACCCTTGGGACGCGGTTTACGCTGAAGCTGATTCGACTCAGGCTTCACCATGTCGAAATCGATCTCGGACGAGGCATTAGGAGCTACGCCGTAAAGAGTGCGGATGTGACGGATTCTGTGGAGAGGAATACCCATGGCTACTTGTAGTTGGGCAGCAGGCAAATTGACGCCCGAAACCATTTCAGTTGTTGGGTGCTCGACTTGCAAACGAGGGTTCAGCTCAAGGAAGAAAAATATGTCCTCCCCATGGCTATAGAGATCTAGAGGTGAATAATTTAGCGAATTTGACAAAGCCTGTAGAAATTAACGCGCATACATTCAACTGTTCCTGCACTGACATATCCGACCAGCTTCGCCAGCCGGACGGCTGCGCGCTCCATCTGCTCAAACGTATCCTCCTTTGCAATGGTGACGGGGGCTTCCTCGATAATCTTCTGGTGGCGACGCTGAACGGAACAGTCACGCCCGAACAAAGAGATGGCATTGCCATACTGATCGGCGAGCAACTGAACCTCCAAGTGTCGTGCTTGGCCAGCCAGCTTCATGATAAAAATCGGCGATCCTGGAAAAGGCACGTTAGTAGAAGCTTAGGTCAAATTAAATCATCGTACCTGGGATCTCTCCTGCAACGGCATGGAAGGCATTCTTGAACGCATCGGGATGATCGACTTTACGAATACCCTTTCCTCCTCCACCTTCACTGGCCTTAATCATGACTGGATATCCAATTTTCAGCCTTGGCGAGACCTTCCGCGACACTTGTGACACAAGCACTCCTGTACGCCTTGTCAGGAACGGTCACAAAACCCTGCTCCGATAGGACAGTGTCCGAGATGCCAGTGCCCGACCAAGCCATACAAGGAACATCCGCGCTCTGAGCGACGATTGTACTTGATATCTTATCGCCCAAGCTCCTCATGGCACTTCCTGGGGGACCTATGAACACGATGCGGTTCTTGGACGCAGCGAGACTTTCAGGTAGTCGAGGGTTTTCAGACGCATGACCCCATCCTGCCCAGACAGCATGCACGCCAGCACGTTCGGCAACATCGACGATAAGGTCAACGTTGGCGTAATTGTTATTGTTCGATCCTCCTGGAACCTCGATGTACTGGTCCGCCATGCGGATGTACTCGGCATTTACTTTGAGGTCCTCAGGAGTTGCCATAACTGTGAACTCTACAGCTCGCTCCGTCCCAAACGTTTCGTAACTCCATTGGCGGATGGATCGAATCTCCTTGACCGCCGCGATGCCTGTTAGAGTGAGTAAGCCTCCCTAGCGCAACCTGTTTTTAATGCGTACCATTATTTGCAATAAGTACCTAGAGAAGACATAGATTGATTAGAATTATATTTTAAGATCATTGGAGATGAATGGGGTTGGTAAAAGCACATGAAGTACACCCGAGGAGGCGGGTGTGGTACTTACCTTCGTGATAACTGTATGACCCCCATGAGCCTTTACAAAGTCCGTAACACGGCCAGCAGAAGCTTTATCCAGCGAATTGCCGCCTGAATATAAGCTCAACATCCAAAACGCGTCATTTATTATTCAGTGATAGGACGCGTACCTATGAAGTGGGCTACTTTTGAGTGATCGTAGGCCGACATTGTTGCCGCCAGTTAATTGATGGTTGGATGAACTGAATTAGCCAGCAGACTGGACTGCCAGAGAAGGAAGATGATGATGGGAAGAAAGAGAAAGACGAGCGGGATGCAGTATGATGGGGACTTTGACAGCTATTTTACCCAGCTTTACTGAGCCCCAAAAAGTGTCTACTTTGTTACGTAATTGATGATAGGGTTCTTGTGACGCATTCTGAGTGATTCAAAACTTGTTTCAGAACACACCGCATCATGCCGATGATCATATCATATGGCGGCGACAGCGCATTCGTTATCTGACACGTCGTTCTCGACGATAGACTCAACTATGCACTTGACCCTTGTCGTTTCTCATAGGGCCTGCCATAGGGGCGCGAGCCTGGACAGACGTTTATGTAACGTCCCCAACGAAAGTTTTACATGCGAAATTTTTTATTTGTTTATTCCATGAGCTTAAAACCGATACATGACTGCCATCTTACTGATAGTTACATACTAAAATTACCCTTAGAAGCCCTTGATCACACACGACGACCGCGGGGAATGACAATTGCAAGCGACATAGGGGCTATTTCTAGATCCTACCCTTTCCATCTTCCTAGATCACCGCACTTAGATTCACTCCAGGAGGTCAGTTTCGTCAACGTTTAGGATCAACCTCGTAAAAAACCGAATTTGTTCCAAGAAGCCCTCTGCTCTGATAGCTAGAAGTCCAGACCGCCATCTTATTGAGTAAAAAAGCAGGTAGTGCGGCAGCCTGCTTACCTTCATTTATGGTATGCGCACCATTATAGCCATCAGCGGCACCACGGTGGCCATATCGGAAAATGTGTTTGGTAAGGCTCCAGTAATGCCTTGTGTCTGTAAAATGCATGTTCAGATCATCTCCGTATTCTCGTTATCGAGGTGTAAGCACCACCTACCCGTGTTTCCTATCATTATCGGATAAACCTGTTAGCCACTTGATATGAAGAATTAACTGTTAGTCTACCTAAGGAAAGGCCAGGTGACACGACAGAAACATCAGGGAAGTCGTCTGTACGGAGGTTGGTCTGCAGCGTGGACAAGACGGTGCCCGAGAGCAGTTTGTATGGCCCGCTTCCGGTAGTTGGGGTAACAGGTGCGGGTTCTAATGCTGAACCGAATGCATCTGAAACCTTCACAAGACCCCACGTAGGTGCCTCAAGGCCGATTGGCTTCCCAAACGCATTAAGAGACATGTTGTGCTTGGCCGCAACAGGTGCGACGATGCTTGCAAATCGGTCTTGAAGTTCAGAAACAGAGCTGGTTCACGGTAAAATGATTTGTCTGTAAGAAGATCGGCATTCACATACCTGTGGTCTGCGATTCTGTGGTTTGCAATGGCGTAAACAGCTTCTGGCAGTGCGTTGATTTTAACGCCACCATAGATAATGTCTGACCAACAGTTCGTTCAATGCACCGACGTGAGATAACCTTCTGTGCTTACCGATGGCCTGAGTTGTACCTGCTGAAGCAGAGTATGCTGGGTCGAAATCATCAAGCTTTGTCTCCAGCTCATGCAACTTCTCGTCGCTGGTCTGCGATTCGATAACAAGTTTGCGCATATCAGAGGGGAACCCAACATCATACTTTGCCCTGCACTGTAAACCCTGATAGTAGGTTCGGTCGCGTGCAAGCTTCGGGACGTGTGGGTTCGCCTCCAGCTCGGTGACAACGCTGGCGAGGATACCAATGCCCTGTGTACTATGAGACATCTCACTGTGTGTACAAAGGTATCCTTACAGTATGTTTGGGAGGTCTGCTCGAGTGTCCTCCAGGTGTGAGAACGTCCACGCGAACGTCCAAGTACCCTTTCTCAGCAACCGCAGGAGTAGCAAAGATAGTGCCGCTCTCGTCAGAGTATCCTCCTTGATGTACTTGAGAAGTCGCGTGCAACTAAGTCAATGAGCTATCTTACCTCCTTCATCGACAATCATTGAGATGGAATCTTCTCCATAGGTCTTTACAAGATATTCTCCAATTGCGGCAGCGCCCTACAATAAGATGTCAACGCTGACTGGTCAAAACAAAAGCGCACTTACAGTAGGCCCGCCGCGCTCCTCGTCGATGCCATAAGCCAAGATGACGGTTCTTGTAGGTTTGAAACCTTGCTCAAGGAGAGTTTCGAT